ATGTGGAAGTGCGTAAAATCCCGTTTTGGGGGGTGGGGGGGTGGCGTCCAAAGGCATACCCTGGCCCCACAATCGCCGAAACACCCCAGCCACCTGCCGGGCCTAGGGTACACGCCGTATATGTGTGTGTGCTGACGACAATCGCGCCCCCCCTCGCCCCCGCCCCTGCCGAGCGAGCGAGCAATCACATGCGTACGCACGCGTGCAGTTCGTCGAGTAGGCCGGGGTGTGGCGGCGGGGGGGGGGAGAGAACGACGACGGAAACGAAGCTTCGCACGCACCGAGCGTTGCGTGAGTTCTTTATTTTAGCGCGTGCTCTCATCAGCCCTCTCCGGCACACGCACCGCGCTCTCTTCGTCTCTCTCTCTCTCTGTCTCTCTCGCACTGCCTTTCTTCCGCCTGTGTTGGTGTGCCGTCGACGACGACGACTCGTTCAATCATCTGCTAGAACTTTTGCTAATTTCATCTAATCAGTCGACCTTGAATATTTGTTTTATTCCCTGCCCCTGCCCCTGCCCCTGCCCCCGCCCCTGCCCCTGCCCCGTTCAACCCATCCCACGGGGTATTTATTCTTGTTTCACACACACACGCACACGCACACACGCACTCAGGCATTGGAATTTGCTCTCTCTGCCGCCGTCGCCGTCGCCACCGCCGCTGCCGCTGCCGCTCTTCTGTTGTTGTTTTTGGTTGAATTTATTTGAGGCTTGCTTTATTTCAAGGTGAAATATGCGCAAATAAAAATTACCAAACAAAAACATCGCGTATCGAAAGGAAATTGCCAAAATATACAGGCCGGGCCAGGCCGGGCAGAAAGGTGTGCTGTTGGTAGCAGAAGCGACATTTGGATACCCTATCTTGGAGCCTTGGAGCCCAGATATATACCCTATGGCAGGGTCTCCACATCTATCGATGTTCGGCCTCCCCCTCCGCCCACCCACTGCACAGTTCCTGCTTGTCACTTGTCATTTATTACTCATACGCTGCTGCGACGACTGCACTGCTCACCCACACACACACGCACACGCACACGCACACACACATGTCGCTAGCTTTGTCGCTGTCGCTGCCTCTGTCGCTGTCGCTGTCGCTATCTCTGTTCTATCTCCCCGTTCCTCTCTGGCGCGCAATCGCCGCCGCAGCTTTGACATTGACTTTGAAGATAACAAAGAGAGTGTGTATGAGTACCTCTCTCTCTCTCTCTCTCGCTCGCACACATTTAAAATTAGAATATACCCGCACACACATGTGCCGCGGTTCTCTTATCGGCAATCGCTAGGAGTGGGGTGTGTGGGGGGGGAGGAGGATGAGTGTCTTCCTATCGCCTGGCATCGACCAACAGGAATGTTATCTCCACACGCGGTACAGCCCAGACACCTCAACAACTGGCCCCCTCCCCCTCGCCACTGGACTGCCACAGCGCCACTGGACACACACACACACACAGAACAGAAGCAACAGCAAAAACAACGCTGATTTGATTATTTCGGCAAATTCATTTCGCGACTCTTATCGCCTCAAGGTCACGGGCAAATACCAAATCAGGCGCACACAGATACACAGATACACAGATACAAATACAGCCATAGAACAGGCGCGACATTGAAAATAATCACTTCGGTCGCTAGAAACCGCAAATATGTATGTGTGCGTGTGTGTGTGTGTGTTTGATAAGCCCCCTCGTTGGGGAAGGGGGGAAAAGAAAGCGGCCCTATATCCCCATTTGTTACTCTCCAAAGCCCATCCCAAAAAATAACAACACTGGGTATCCATTTTTGTTTTTTTTTTTTCATAATTTTTTTTGTTCTTTTTTTTTTGTTTGATATATTTTAAATACTTATTTCTTAATATTTTATTCACATATTCCATTCTGAGGGATTGGGTTGGGGGTTTCTGGGGGTTTCTTGGGGGTGTATTTCGTTTAAAACAAACTGTAATTATTATTTTATTTCACAAATACAAAGTTTCTGTTTTTGTTTTAATTGTTTGGTTTTTTTGTTTTTTTTTTAATGGAGATTTTAAATCGATTTTTCGGTTACAATTTCTTTGCTCTTTCGTTCTTTCGCTTTCGCTCTCTCTCTTTCTCGCTCTCAATGTCTCACATTTTTCGAATTTTTTGACAAAAAAAATTCTCATTTATTAAAAACTCTTTTTTGTTTTTTTTTTTTATTTTTATTTTATTTTATTTTGTTTTGTTTTTTTGTTTCGCCGCAATTCGATTTGTGACTGTCTTTTTCGACCAAAAAAAAAATATTCATGTGTGTATATGTACCATATATATATATATATATTTTATAGATATTATCATTATTATTTATGTGGTATTTTTTGTTGTATTTTGTTGTTTTTTTTATGCCTCAGCTGGAGTTACGTTCAAATTTCTTCACGTTTTTTTTCTCTTTCGATTTACGTTTACGTTCAACTCTTACGTCTGTTTACGGTTACGGTTTACGGTTACGGTTTACGTGTACGTGTACGTGTACGTGTACTTTTTTACGCTTAATTGTCGCAATTTCATTGTTTCAGTTGTCGCTGCGCCGTCGCGTCGTTCGATTCCCCCATCGACGGGGATCCCCCCTATATCCTATATCCTATATCCATGCTGAAATACATATATAGTAATTTTTACATAAAATATTCACTTTTAAATACACAATTACAATTGTTTTTTTTTTGTTGTTTTTTTCTTTTTTCTTTTCTGCGCTAAAAGTTACGGACAATGTTACACACATACAGCTACTACACACACACACACACACACACACACAGACAGACATCAAAATCGTTTTCACCTACATATGTATGTATGTATGCATGCATGCATGTATATATGTATATACTATATATAACACTATAGTCAATTATTGAAGTGTGATATTTTTCTGTTAATCCTTTTTTTTCTTCCTTTTTTTTCTTTGCTCTCCTCCGTCTGGCTTCCTTTCCTTCTTGCCTCCTTCTTTGCATAAATTTTAAAAGAATATAATATTTTTTTCTTGTATGTAGACTTTCCATCCCATCCAAAATTTACGGCGGAACCTTTTCTATAGGGTTCTCTTGTGTTTTTTTTTCCTTTTCTTTCTTCTAAATTTATACACATAAAATTGTTGTTGATATAAATACTTGAGATATAATTTGGTGAGTATTTTTTTTACAGACGCGGTAATCAAAAGCGAAAGAAAAAAAAATCAACTGAAACGGAACGGAACGGAAATGGAACGGAAACGGAAACCTTACCATTTGTTGAGCATTTGTGGGAAACCATTAAAAATTAATAATAACTGAAAGGAAAACAAAAAAAATTGAAATGAAAAAACTGAAGATGGTTTTTTTTTGTTGAAATTTTTTAAACAAATTTTTTTTATTGATTTGACAATACAAATTTCTGCGCCAGTGTTGGATTTTTGTTTTGTTTTTTGTTGTTTTTTTTTTTGTTTTGTGGTTTTTGTTTTTCTTTGTTTTGTTTTGTTTGTTGTTGGTTTGTCTAAGCATAAAAAAAAAATATTAATTAATTGTAATCGTAATCATTTAATAATAATAATAATCGTAATAGTACAGCGTAATTATAAGATAATTAATGTAATAGTTTTTTGCTACCGCAAGTGTTTTCATTTGTTGTTGTTGTTGTTTTTGTTTTTGTTTTTCTTTAATATAAATTTATATTTTAGGTTTTTCTTGTTTTTTGTTTTGTTTTTAAATAATATATCATAATTTCTGTTTTGCTTGTATCATCTTGTTTTTGTTTTTGTTTTTCCTTTTTTTCTTTTAATTTAATTTAATTTTTTAGTTTTGTTGCCTGGTTTTTCGAATCGTTGAAGCATTATACACTATATATTTACGTGTATCTATGTGTACGCTTTAAATATGGTTTTGTTTTGTTTTTTGCCTTTGCTTTTGTTTAATTTAACATTTAACTATTTACACAACAAATATATTTAACGTTGGGTTTCCGCTCTCCTCATTTTCGTTTTTCTTCTTGCTGAAATCTTCTTGTTAAGCTTTTAAGATTTTCATTTGATTTTTCCTTCATTTAATTGTATTTTTTGTGGTAGGTTTTTTGTTTTTTTTTTTTCTGTTTTTCTTTTTTGTCTTTGTTTAAAATTAGAAAACAATATTTTTGTCAGGGGGTTTCTTTTGTGCCAAGGGTTTAAAAACTGAAAGCCACAGATAGAGAGGGACAGGGGACTGGGGGAGTGGGGGATTGGGTGAAAAAAAAAAATAAAAAAAATTCTATAACAAGTTTCGTATTAAAAATTAATTAAATTCATCAAAAATGAATCGTAATTTGTGGCCAACTGCCTTTTCCGGAGATCGCACAATAAAATTTCACACACATTTGTTTTTGTTTTGTTTTTTTTTAAGGTTTTTGTTTTTTTTTTGTTTGTTTTTAAACTTTAATAATAATAATCATAATATAATAATAATTTGCAGTTTTTTCAAAAAACATCCAAAAAGCAAAAGTAGTTTTTTGCTGCTAAAAACTAAACCGTAAGCATAAATAAGATTTAAAATAATTAATTAATTAATTAATTAATATTTACAATAATAGTGCTTAAAATGTATGCAAAAAAAAAGAATGTAAAAAAAACAAACGGGGGCTCCTCCGAATGGGGGGGTTGGGCTGGGTCTGGGTCTGGGTCTGGGGGGAGGGGGTCTTGGGGGGTTCCTTCCTCACGCTATGCTAAAGTTCTTAGGGCTAAAAAAAAAAGATATATTTATATGCATACTCCTCGTCTCTGGTCTTCGCCTGGTAATACCTTCAATGCCTTGGGTTTAAATTAATAACTTTTAGTTGTTGCCTTCGTTCTTTTGTTGTTCCTTTCCTTTCCTCGCTTTTAGTTTTTTCCATTAAATATAGTGCTGTTCTGCTCTCCCGCCCGCAATCTTTGTACAAGACTCTCTCTTTCTCTTTCTGTTTCTCTTGTCCTTGCCCTTGCCCTTGCTCTAACCTAATCCCCTCTCCCATCGATCGCCTGCTCTCCAATCCATCCCCCCGCCAAGGACCTGTGTCAGTCTCTGTCTCACCTTCTCCTGCCTTGGGGCTTACGCCTCCAACATGACCTTGTGCACGGCCGCCACAGCGGCGGGCGGGCTGCTGCTGGTCGGTGCCGGGCTGGCCGCCTGCGATGGCGGACCAGCGCCAATGCCACCCACAGCGCCTCCCCCGCCGCCGCCGCTGGAGGCTGTCACCGTGACATCGGCCGAGAGAGTGGGATAGCGCTGCACAGCGTTGGCCGCTGCCACGAGGGCGTGCAGCTTGCTGGGCGGCGGCGTTGGCGACTTCTTGGACAGGTTCAGGGGCTGGGCCGAGTCGGCAATGTCCACCTGCAGCTCCAGCAGGGCGGGGCTCGAGGAGGCAGCAGTGGCTGCCCCGTTGCCGTTGCCGTTGCCGTTCCCGTTACCCGGGGCTGTGACCGCCACCGAGGAGCTGCTGGTGGAGTGCGGCGACTGGAAATACTGGCAGCTGCCGACGGAGCTGGAGCTGCAGTTGCTGTTGCTGTTGCTGTTGCTGGATGAGGAGCTGGACGACGAGGAGGAGCTGGAGCTGGAGGAGCTGCTGCTGCTGCTGCTGCCGTTGCTGTGCGGCGACACGGACTGCTGCCTCTGCTGGCAGGTGGTGGTGATCACCGAGCTGCTGCCCCAGCGCTGGGGGGCCGGCGGCGGCGGACTGCTGGTCGAGGGCGAGGCGCAGTGGCTGCTGGGGCTGCGTCCGCCCATGCTCGCCGAGGAGGTGGTGCTGCTGGCGAGGGCGGCGGTGCCGGGCTCCCGCTTCAGATAGTTCTGGATGATGTCGCTCCGCTTGATCTGCTCGGGCGTCATGCGGGGCTCGGCCATCAGCGACTTGGCCAGCACCGAATGGGAGCTGGCCATCGAGGCCTTGGGGCCCTGGACCTGGCCGTGGCCGTGACCGTGGCCGTGGCTGCCGCTGTTGGGGCTGCCGCGTGTCAGGTGCATGTGCAGCTGGCTCTGGGCCGGCCCGGACACACCCGCGAGGGAGTGTGACGCCTGTGACGACGGCGGCGGCGTGGCCACGCTGGCCGGGATGGGGCTCTGGCGCGGGCTGAGGGCGCCCAGGCTGTGGGTGGAGCTGCTGGCGTCCGCCTCCGCGGTCTCGAACTCGCGATGGCGCAGGGCCCGGAACTTCTTGTGCGGCTTGTAGGCCTCGTCCATCAGGGAATTGGTGTCGTACAGGGGCGGGGCCTGCAGGACGCGCTTCAGCACGGGCATGTCCTCGACGATCTGGCGCTTCAGATGCATGTTGGCGCTGCTCGAGGGCTGCGGCGAACGGACCGGGGAGACGGCCACCACGCTCAGCTGTGGATTGACGGCGGCCACCGCCTGGGCGGCGGACACCTGGGCGTCGCTGCAGTCGAGGGCGTCGTCCACGCTGGAACGGGGACTGGAGCAGGAGCTGCTGCCGCCCGACGAGACCGCCTTGCACTCGTTCTTCTCGTTGCCCGACTCGATGCCCGAGTCCGTGGGCGAGTCCAGCTTCCGGTAGCGACTCGCTGCCCCCGCCGTCAGGTGGTGGTGCAGCTGCGGATGCTGCTGGTGTTGGTGCTGCTGCTGCTGTGTGGCGTGTTGTTGCTGCTGCTGTGTGGCATGTTGCTGCTGCTGCTGCTGCTGTTGGGCGTGCGCCTGCTGCTGCTGCTGGTGGTGGGGGTGGGGCTGCTGCTGCTGCTGCTGCTGCTGTTGGAGGTGGTGGCGCACAATGGGCGTGATTGTCAGGCCGTTCTGGGTGAGATGCGCATGCGAGCCGACAATGTCCATGTCGGCGGCACCGGAGTCACCGCTGGAGCCGGAATTGGCGCGATTGCGCAGTGGACAGCCGCCCGAGAGGGTGGCCGCCAAAAGTGGGGCCGAACTGGCCAATGCCGATGGCTGTGGCGGCGAGGCCGCGGCCTGTGCCACCTGCTGTTGCATCGAGCTGCTGCTGGGTGAACCGTAGTCGAGATCCGCCGACTCTGTGCTGGAAACCGAGCCCAGGGGGCTCTTGGCCGCCTCCACGTCCATGGCGTCGGCCCAGCTGGCGGCCGGGGACTTGCCGGAGGTGGGATCCTGTCCCTCCTCCATGCTCCACATCTGCTGGCGCAGCAGCTCCTTGTGCTCGGTGCGGAAGACGACCAGCTTCTCGGTGTGCAGGGTGCTGAGGGTCCTCAGGTCGGGCATCGTCTCCAGCAGCTTGGCGAGAAAGTCGGGCTGATCGGGCCGATTCTGGGCGACAATGTACTGCAAGCAGCCCTTGAGGCGGCTGTACATCTTCTCGATGAGCTCCAGGTTGCGCAGTCCGGGTCGGTCGGGCGTGATCAGGACGATGGCGCAGAACAGGCCGATCTCGGCGTCCGTGAGGTTCATCGAGTTCATCCGCTCGGCAAAATTGAACGTCGAGTCGACCAGGAAGCGGGCATTGGCCCCGTTCTGGATGGCGTCGCGGCGCATCACCTGCCCGTTCAGGCAGATAATCGAGTTGATCGACGAGTCGAACATGCAGATCAGGCGCACGAACAGGGCGTCGAAGAGGCCCGCCTTCAGCAGCGTGAACTTGTCGTCCTGTGTGAGCAGCTGGAAGCCGGGTATCATGCCCGCGAAATCGATCACGCCGCGGATCACGTGGGCGAAACGCTGCGAGAACTCCTGCTCGGACTGCAGCTCGGGGGCGGGATTGAGGGGACAGGCCTGCAAAGGAACACAAAAAATGGGGTACCGTTAGTAACTGTTGCATCGCATCGCCCTCATCGCACACGCGTCATCGTTTCGCTCGTTTCGCTCGTTTCTCGTTTCGCACACGAAGGTCAGCGAACTGCTCCCGCCCTCCCCGTCCGTCCCGCTTGCTCCCCCCAACATTCTATCGCGTAAATCAATAATCGCACAACTATTTCTACTTCCGCACGCCCACTCGCCCTCTCGCTCTCCCACTCGCCCTCTCGCTCTCTCCCCCGCTCTCTCCCTCTCTCGTTTATCAAATGTCGCATTTCCTTATACGCCGCTGGAAGCTTTTCGAGAGGGAGAGCAAGAGAGAGAGAGAAAGCGCCCTAACGACATCAGCTTTCGTTTGTTCTGTTAGTTTTTTTTTTTTTTGTAGTTTCTAGGGGCGGTTTTTCTCTCTCTCTCTCTCTCTCACTCTCTGGGAGCTTTCATTGTGTTGCCGTGTGTGTGTGTGGCCTGACATTACCCGCCAAGGTCGACGAACTAGAGTTCAAGGTTCCGGGTTGCTGTTGTTGCCACTGTGTTGGCGCGTGTTCGCTCGAAAAAATATATAAAAGGGGTTGGGGTTGGGGTTGGGGTTGGTGCGGCGGCGGGGGGCTCTTCAGAGTGACGACTGTTCATGCTATTTCGCCATTTGGCTTTCCGGGTTTTCAGTTACATGAACATGCGCCGCCAAGTGCGCCCCCAGACGACCCACCGCCCCCCCGCCCATTGAACGTGCCCCGATATCAGCCGCCCACCACCTGCCACCGACCACCGGCCGCCCATTGGCTATTGTTCTTCGCATCGACTTAATTTTTAATTTATGTTTGATTTTCAGCCGCTATGCCTCCGCCCCCGACAGCTCTTTGAAAATCTGTCTGCAGATTAACCTTGAAAGTGTTTTTGCTCTCGCTCTCGCTCGCTCTCCCTCTCTCTTCTCTGCCGACCGGCAACCGGCGACGAAGCGCAAGAACAAGAAGATTTCTTTCGTTTCTTTTCGGACTTTTTGCCGGTCGCTTCGGTCGGTCGGTCGGTGGGTCGTTCGGCGCTTTGACGTCGTCGTTTGATATGCGCCAGCTTCGCCGTCGGCGTCGGCGTCGTACCCCGCCCCCTCCCGCTATACATTTCGGATCCTTTCCGATTCCCTTTTTTTCTTTATTTGTTGTTTTGATTTGGATTTTTCATGTGCGCAAAAGCGGAAATAGTTTTTCGGGCCACTAATGAGTGGGGCCGGAGGAGGCTATATAAAACCTCCCCCCCTCCCGCATACTCGTGCCGCTCTGCCGGCATATCACAAGACCTTCAATTTGTTTGCCAAAAATAATTTACCGCAAAATCGGGGCCGCAAAAAGAGAGGGATTTAGTGGGGGGGACGAGGGGGGGATGAATGGATGGCTGGCTGGCTAGCAATCTATTGAATAATCGAATTCCTAGGGCTAATCAGCGAATTGAATTTCTATTTCTAGAAGGGACACACACACACACACACACGCACACCGACAGAGAGACAGAGAGATCATCATCTCTCAGTCATAACCTCCGTACGTTTTCCGCCTTCCGTACGTACACACGTTGCATATTACGTGTCGTGTCGCTGCTTCCCTCTCGCTCTCTCCCTCTCCCCCCCTCTCTCTGGCATATTTTGCTTCCTCATATTCTATTCCCTCACATTTTATGCATATTTGAGTGCATTTTTTTAGTATTATTATTGTTTACTCATTTGTTGGGGGGTGCTACAGGGGCAGGGGGCAGGGGGGGACGCAGCTCGTTTCGTTTTATTCTATCGCCAAGGTTAAAAAATAGCTTTGTCCGAAGGTCGGCTCTAGCGTTTGCCTTTCTATGAGTGGGTTCTGGGGTTTGATCCCCCTAGGATCAGGGACCGCCCCTCCAACCCTCCAATTTCAATGCTTGACGGCCTTGCACTTGACTCTCTCTCTTCCTCTCTCTCCGTCTCTCCCTCTCCCTCTCCCTCTCTAACTCTTTAGGTACTCGTATTCTTTCGTTCTCTCGCTTTTAAATATTTTAATAATAATTTATTTAAATGATCAACGCATGTGCCTGTCTGCGACCCCCCCTCGCTGCCCCTCTCTGCCGCCTCGCACTCTCTCTATCTATTCAGCGCTTTGTTTCCTACGTCTCTGTGTCTGTCTGTGTGTGTGAGTGTGTGCTTTCATTAATAATGACGCTGCGCTTGACCTTGAGCTTTAGAACTGTATTTGTATAATTTGCTGTTGTTGCTGGGACACGTTTTTTCTTTATCGCTTTCGATCGCCGGGCGACTGGTAGTTAGATCGTTCTCCCCAACCATCCAGGGGGTGTCTATGACTTCCTCTTCCCTGTAGTACACCACCCCCATCCCCCCGCCCCTCCCACCGTCGATCTACTTGCTCTGACCGCCAAAACGGTGACGAAAACTAAACAAAAGTTGTGTATTTTTACAACCACCTTAAACCATTTATCATTCAGGTCTGTCGTCTGTCGTCGCGGAACGTCATAAATTTGACATTGACAGGTTTTTCTTCGCATAGAACTTGACCCCAAACCCCGCCGCGCCGCGCCGCACTGCCACCATTTGGAGGTCTGTCTTGCAAGAACCGAGCCAGCGACCGAGCCAGCGACCGACCGAGCGAGCGACCGAGCGAGCGGTACGTGCGAGCCATGCCATGCCATGGCTGGCGATTTCCTGGTTTAGAATCATGCAAACAGGTTCACCTTGGCGCATGAGTAACCCCAACCTAATGCCTCGGCGACTGTTTCTGTATCTGACAGATCTCTGATCTGGGCCCGGAAATCGAGAGCCACTGCCTACGCTGCAACCTTTTACAGCCAAATACTACGATATATGTATGTATATATTGTATAGATGTTGATGGACTTACCAGCAATGTGGGCATCGAGTACGATGGGCAATCGCGGGCCCGCTGCCGCATGGCCGAGACCTTCTCCTTGGTAAATTCGCACGTCTCGAGATGGGCCCGCAGGACGGCGGCCAGTAGACGGGGCTGATCGTCCAGCTCTGTGGCCAGGGCCCGCTGCTGGCCCCGGTTCTGTGTGCTCTGCTGCATGGCGGCCAGGATGCGCGCCTTCTCTCGCTTCGGCACGCGACCAAAGCGCACAGCTGCAACGAGAGAGAGAGAGAGGGGGAAGATTGAGGTTAGTGGCAGGTAATCGTTGGTTCAACTTAAAGGTAGGGTCCCCCCCACCCCTTTCGGTGCATCAATTACACGCTTCATTGCTGCCGTTGGAGAGCAGGTGCACGGGCAACAGCTGTTGTCCTGGCTTGTCACGCAGGAAGTGCCCCCCGATACCCTCGTCCCTTGTGTAATTTAGTGCCCTTGAAAGTGGGTCATTGCCTCAGCTGCTGCTGTTGCTGCTGCTGCTGTTCCACTCTTCTCGTATTTTTTTTTTGGCTTGTTACACTTTCTCTTTTTTTTAGATTTTAAACCAAAAAAAAACAACAGCAACAGCATTTGGATGTGGGTGAACTTTCACATTTCACCAAAAACCCCAAAAGAGAGAGGGAGACATGCAAAGACAGAGACGGCGACACGTTTGCGGTCACGTTTTTCGCACCAACAAAAAAGGAGGCCAGCATTGCCAGCATCCACAAAGGAAAAATTTAGTTTTTGGACTGCAAGAGAGCAGCCACACATCCTTACGATCTTTTGAGGGGAGCGGGCGGGCGGGAGGGGGGTGGGGTGATGTGTTTCCTTTTCAATGTCAAAAGAAATTTCTACAAAAATTTCACTGAGGAAACCCAACAAAAAAAAAAACACACACACAGCAAAAAGTGAAACAACACGAGAGCTGCGGCTGATTTTTCACTACTTTTCCCAGCAAATACACTGCGAGAAATTGACCCACTTGACTGGCAGGGGCGAAATCCAGGTCAAATGAAATGGAAAATGAAATGCTGCCGCTGCGGCTGCGCGTAGAAATTAGAGCGCGCTGCGCCGCCGCCGTCGCCGTCGCCGCTGAAGAAAGTTGGTCAAACATGCGACGGACGGCCGCCTGCCACTCTTTTAGAAAATAGCAAGCGGCGCAGCAGCGCTGCAGCGCAGCCAGCCTTCACTTCACTTCCAACGAACAGAGCCGAACCGAGCGAGCCGAACCGAAGCTGCGTTTCAAGTTTAAAGCTCTTCCGCGGCAGCAGCGGCAGCAGCAGCCTCTGCCGCCGCACAAATTATTGTCTGTTTAAAAACGAGGTCAACACTCAATGGCGCTCAGAGCGTCGCTTTGGAAAAAAAAAGGTAAACAGCACCGCACAAGAAAAAAAAATAAAGACCGAATCAAAGTCAAAGCCGAGTCGGAGTCGGAGAGCATCTATGGGAGTTAATTTTTTTTGGAAACCGAAAGCGCTGAGGGGGGAGCTGTGTCTGGGGGGAGGGAGGGAGGGAAACTGTGTCAGTCGAAGCATTAGGGAAATTTCTTTCACTTTCTAACTCCAATTCGGAATGGATCTCTAATCTGTTTGGAAACTTACGCGCATTGTGATAGTTGACATTGCCTTTGAGTATCCCCTTCAGTATCGGCAGTTCTTCGCCCATTTTTCTATGAATTGTATTTTGTTATATTTTTCGGTAATTTTATTTGTTTTCTTAACCCAAAACTTGTTGTTGGTTTTTTGGTTTACACTTTTCTCCCTATGAGATTCCGCTGGGCACTCATTCGAGTATTCATGAATAATTCTTTCTTGGTTGGAGTTTTCCTTTCTTTCTTTTGGCACGGGGCGGGGGCGGTCGGGCCAAAAAAAAATTTGTAACTTTTTGGTTTAACTTTTGTTGTTGTTGTTGGTTTTCTTTTGGATACACTGCGATTTTCTTCTGGAGTTTAATTATTATTTCCAAAACAAAAAAAAAATAAACACCACTCTATTTGTTTGTAGGTTGTCTTAAGATATTTTTAAGATATTTTTCACTCTTTCAAACAAGAAAAAAAATATATTGCATTTCTTTTCTTGGCTTTAGTTTTGTTTTCTTTTTTTTTTGCAGGAACTTTCTTTGCGTTTTGTTTCTTACGATTTTCTCACAATTAAAATAATTTTTGGAATTTGTTAAATATTTATTTGGATATTTGTTTCATTTAGCGCGTAATCCAGACAGACGGGTGTGTGTGTGAGTGTGTGTAGGTTTTTCGCTTTTGTTTTTGTTTTTGGGCGAGACTTGGTCGACTTTTCGTCATTTATTTAGTTATTAAATTATTTGGGTTTTTTGGTTTTTTGGTTTGTGGTTTCTGGTCAACACTCGCGTTCTTATTGGGGGGCGGGCGGCTTGGGCTCAGTGCTCCTCAATATCTGAATCAGTAACTGAATGTGAGTGCGTGCTCCTCCGCTGACATGACAAAACTCGACAAAATCTCGAACGCGAATAACTGTAAAAGCCGCAGCACGTCACCGAATATACCAAAGCAAAGCAAAGCAGGCGGGCAGCACAAAACAGAGACAGAGAGTGAGAGAGAGAGAGAGAGCGGCGGAGAGAGCGCGCGCTCTTAAGAGCGGCAGCGTAAAGCTTGGCATTTCATTGGCTCTCTCTCTTCGCAGTGTTCTTTTTCTCTCTCTCGCTCGCTCGCTCGCTCGCAGTGATGGGAGTTTTTTGTTGGGGGATTTTTACAATTACGAATTTTCATTAATAATTATTTTAGTATTTTTTACATTTATTTTTGGCTAATTTTCTGCCCTTTTGTGGTTCTATTCTTTTCAAGTTCAAGCCAAGGCTTTGATGATAAGCTTTTCCTGATTCTTTTCTTTTCTTTTGTGGCATCGCCCTCTCGTTCTGTTGCAACAACATGGTCCTACCACAAAAGTTCAATGTTCGCGCCGCCAAAAGACAACAAACGGCATGAACTGTCGCCAGAGAGAGAGAGAGAGAGAGAGAGCTCAAGAGCGAGCCCTACCAGAAAGCTCTCTCAAGCTTCGCGGCAAAGCTTTTCAACACACCCCAAAGAGCACAGAGCGCGCCAGTGTGTTGAGTTTCACAATTTAAGAGTACGGAAAGCTTTAAGGAGAGCTTTTTTCATACTTGGTGAAAAAAGGTGGCGGCGCACAGGCATGGACTTGAAGGGTGGTGCGTATGCGTATGCGTATTTTGGAGGTGGAAAAACTGGGCTGTTCTACGGGTCTTGAGGTCTGGAGGTCGGGAGGCTGAGCTGGCCAGCAAGGAGAGCGATATGTATTTAAATGAATCTTAATGATTTCACGCTTGAGTGGGTATAATTTATGACGTCTCTGGCCCCGTCTGGCAGGCAGGCAGGCAGTCGACTCCTCCTCCGCCCGCTAGCCTTAGCGGATCTCTAGACATTTAGTCAAGGATTCATTTGATTTGTGGGGTCACCTAATGACTCACTGATCTCGTCTCACTGACTCATGAGTGCTCCACTCCACCACCGAAGTCGTTTGTTTATTCAAACTTTTCGAGTTTGTCATGGATGGATCGGGAAGTTCCCCGCTGGTCAATGAACTCAGCCGCTGGAATGGGGCCAAACACAAACAACAAACAACGAAAAATTTAATAATCGTTTCCAACGATGAGCCAGCCATTGAGTGTCTTTCCGTGGTGTCTCTTGTCTGTTGCTTGCGGACGAAAGTAAAAGTGAAAGTTGTTTGGCTTTTTTCGGGTAGAAATTTTCGTGCGTGTGTTGTGGAAATGCAGACGGCAGACACCGGGCCACGACGATTGGGCAACAGTTACACTGTTTGGTAGGAGGAGGAAGGTAGGCCTATAAACTCGAGTTGCATAAGACCCCCGAAAGACCAACGGCAGACACTGCCAGACAAGACTTCGATGGACACAAAAAAGACCAAGAAATAAACCAAGAAATATATCTATCTAATATCGAAATATCTGGCGAGACTTATGCAAGCCTCTGGGGGGCCCCGCGCCACCCGCCACTCGCCCCCCGCGGAGGAAAAACCAGTTCAATCTCATCAAAAGTCTTGTCTCTCTGGCAAATAATTGACATTCAACAGTAAAGACCAGACCCGCACAATGCCAGCAATTAAAAGCCAATTAACAAGTTTCACTTTCTCTTGGCAGTGCTACCCCCCTCCCCGCCACCCTGCTCCCCCCACAGAGCCCTGCATCAGTTGGCTTTCTCAATGCTTTCGGGCCATTGGTTGGGCTGACTTCCTGAATTGCGGAGAAATGGCCGCTAATTGTGGCCAAGAAAAAAAGCACTAATCATAAGTAAATAAAAGCCAAAACTTGTTAAAGAGAGAGAGAGAGACAGAGAGAGAGAGTTCAATGCACTCTTTTCTCGATGAGGCAAAAGCCAGAGTTGCAATCAGGAAGCGTTGGCGAGACGGCGAGAAAGAGAGAGAGAGAGAGCGAGACGGAGAGATAGGCCTACTTTCGGTTTTGGGTTTAGAGGAAGGTGATTCACAAACACCTTTTTGGAGCGTGCAGGGGGGGCAAGGGGTAGGGGGAGGGCTTTACGTAAAGTCACATAAGCGACAGACAGAATTGTTGTTGCTTCAGTCTCTGTCGCTGCGTCGCCGCGTCGCTTGCGTAAGCCCCATCGAAGTGTGTGGAAAGAAGGAAAGAAAGAGAGCCCCAAAAGAAAGGGGGACAACGTGTAATAATATTCGTAATAATAACAATAAAGCCATCATTTTGTTTGTTTTGAAGTTTCTGGAACTGTCTGTCTCCCCCCACCCGCCACCCCCCGCCACACACACACACACACACACAGACATTTCCCCCCATGTTTATTTTTGTTTTTTGGTGAAGCCTTCGTGCAAGCGATTTTTGTGGGTCATGAAAATGTCGCTCTCTCGGGCAGGGGCGAGGGGGGGGGGGGGGGGATCGTTCAGGGAGAGGGTCGCTGCTCTGCCGTTTGCCCCTGTGCCACATTATTAATTCTACTTGAAAAGGTCGCCTCGGGCTCGTTTCACGCTCATCAATAAAGTGGAAAAACAACAAAAGGCAAAACGCACAAAGCGAAAATTCTGCGTTTCAAGGGGAATTTTTGTGTGGACGTGAAAATTATTTAAAAATTGGAAAATAAATACGAAATAGTATTTATTGGTCTGTGTTCGATCCACCCTTGACCCCCATGCGCATTCCAGACAGCAAGTTCACCAAATACCCACTAAATAAACATGCTCCCCCGAAATGGGGCCAC